AACGGTAACATTAAGATTTTTATTTTAAAAGTTGGCATGTTTTTATTAGGATATGTATTTAATATATGTATCATATGTAATAACATACAGAATCATCTAATCTTTCCATAACAGTTTTAGCCATAATCTCCATATAGTTTATTTTACATTTATCCTCAGAAGAGACACTTTAGTATCAAAAAATAAAAGAAAGCAACAAATTCAAAGCAAACAAAGAATTTAAAATATTTTTTCTTTTGAATTTTAATAATATTTTGTTGATTGAGAATTTCATACAATGTATTTTGATCATATTCAGACCACCCCCTCCTCTTAGATCCACCCCTACTTCCCAACACTCCCGGGTATCATAGCCTCTATTTTTTAAGACCCATCTAGTCTAAGTTGTGCTTCCCAAATACACTTGGGTTCATCCCTTTGATTCTGGTCAACTTGCCAGATGTTGCATCCTTAAAGGAAAATGACTCCCTCTCTCAGTAGTTATTAGTTGCCAATAGTTCCTCAGCTAGGCCTGGGGATTCCTGCCCACCTCCCAGATTCCAGGCTGTGGTTTGTATGGCTTGGGCTTGCACAGATCTTGTGTATGCTGTCACAGTTGCTAAGGGTTCATATAGCAACTGCCCTGTTGCATCTGGAAAACATAGTTTCTTTGCATTCGTTCGCCAGTTCTGGCTCTTACAATCTTTCCGTGATCTCTGAGCCTTAAGACGAGAGGTGTGATATAGGTGTCCTTCTTAGGGTCTAGGACTCCCAAGGCTCTTGATTTCTATATGTTGACCAGTTATGTCCTAGATGGCTTGGAGGCTATTTCCTGCCTCTGTTCAAACTTAAATGTTAACAATTAACAAAACATTATAGATTTTTAAGGTAAAAAAATATATACTGCTAATCACAGTCTAAAATATTTCTACAATTTATTTTATAGTGGGCAAAAGATTCAATAAAGACCAAAATATAGAATACTTTGGAAATAAGCATGGTGTTTATTTAACATGGCTGAACATTTGAACACAGAGATCATCTATGTTGATCCTCATTTGCCTGTATGTTAGCTGCCTCCTGCCGTCTTGAATAACTTCCTTAAATGAATGAATGAGGTATATCCTCTATTATTGCAAGATACTGGTAAAGCCCCTGACAATGGGGATTTATAAGGTCATATTATCTATGCAAAAGTTTGAAAATATGACAAAATATAAAGATCAGCTAAAACAATCAATTGGAAGAGGGATAAGATAAGAAGATATGCCTATGTTTAGAGAGACCTCAGTTACCTTAATGGAGGGTAGAGAAACTCAGATAACTAATACTTCATTTGAAAAATGTTAAGAGATTTCATTGACTTCAAAGTCAACCTGAGCCATGAGGGTCATGTAATTAGAAAATTCAGTTCAAGAGAATCCCCACTCTCATTACAGTTCACAGAGAATCAAACACCCTCTCATTTATTATTTGGTGAATGATAAATATTTGAAGAGCACTGTCCTAAACACTGTTCCTAGACATAGAGTCTGACCTCAAATTTTGAAGTCAGAATTACAGGTATTTCTCTTTTTTAATATTTTACTTTTATTATTTTTATATTTTTATGTGATGCGTGTATTGCCTGCATATAGGTAAGTGCACCCGTGTCCTGCAATGCCTGCGGAGGACAGAAGAGGCTGTCAGATCCCCTGGAACTGGAGTTATTGACAGTTGTTAGCTTCTTGTGGTTGCTGGGAACCCGGGTCTTCTGCAAGAACATTCAGTGTTCTTAAACACTGAGCCATCTCTCCACCTGCTACAGGCATTTCTTTAGTTTGAAAAACTAATGCATTTTATTATAAAATGTTAGGAAACCAAAAATTAAAAGTTTTTTAGGTTTTCTTGAATTTCAGTCTCCTTGGTGGACGTGGAAGAAATGAGCACACAGTTAAGATGACAACTGTGAGTGGATGTGCCGTGACGAGGCATTGCCTTCCATGATAACCTGAAAAAAACAAGCAAAAAAAGCATGAGATCCAGGCTGGGACACAGGCCTCTCAAATCCTGGGAGAAAAGGCAAGAGTCACTTAACAATCTTGGAATATAGCAATATATTATTTAAAAATAAATAAATGGAAATCCATTTTAAAATCTAATGGGGGGAAATGGGGGTGTATGGACGGGGGGTCTAGATTTAATTAAGATGCATTGTATAAAATGCATAAAACTCAATATAAAATGATTTTAAAAATGAAATAAAATTAGAAAATTAAAGAAAAAATGTAAGTACAGAAACAACACTCGGGAAAGTATAGCTTTGGATTTTTGCAATAAAATTAAGAATTTTAACATCTTACTTTGGCTTCCTATTAACTGGAACTAACCTAAAAGGGAAGTTCATGGAACAGTTACTATTATGATGCTCAGAGGAGGACATTCCCATCACAGATAATTTTCCACCTCAGAAACTTCTGTGGGGACAGTCATTTCCAAACTTTTGAATAAAATGCTTATAAGGTTACATAACTGCTTAAAGACAAATGACTATGTCTTAGGAAAATGTTTGATCAATATAAACTAACAAATAATACACACTACTGTCAGACACAGGGCACATGCCTGTAATTTCAGTTATTCAGGGGTCTTAGAAAGACAGCCCAGATGTTCAAGTCCAGTCTGGGAAAGATAGAAAGAAAAACTCCATCATCTCAGAAAGTGTTGCAAAATATATTTGCTGGGACTGAATAAATCCCTCATAAGTTAGGAGCACTGGCTGCTCTTCCAGAGGGCCCAGGTTCAGTCCCCAGCACCCACCTGGCAGCTAGCAACTGTTGGTTCCTCCAGTTCCAGGGAATCTGATGCCCTCTCCTGGCCTCGGTAGGCATTTCACACACAGGTGCGCTTACGTGCATGCAGGCAAAACACTCAAAAAATGAAATAAATAGATTATGTGTATGTATATATATATATATACATACATATATAGTAGTAATGTTTCACAAACTTTATTAAGGAGTAGACAACTATAAAAGGCAGCAACAACTAAAGGACATACCTGGAAACTCAAACTTTGTTGTCTTCAAGGCTCTGGCTTGTAATCAAAACTCAGACAAGGGCCCAGAGTAGAGTGAGGGAAATGGGTGGTGGGTCAGCCCTAATCTGGGATCTATTGGAAACTGATTATTACCAGGTGCTCATTAGACTTCACTGGATGAATTTGCACCCAAGGGCATCTTGGTACAAATGCTTGAATAGATAAGACTCAACATGCATGGTGGAATACATGAGGTCCAGTGGGGGGTGTGGGGGGGCATGTATGGGGGAGGAGGTCTAAACTTGATTAAGAACTGTTGTATGAAATATATAAAACTTCAATAAAAAGTTTTTAAGGAAACAACAGTAGGAGACTACTGACATACCCTCTCACTATCTCTGTCCGGATGGATAAAGTTGTATATCTCAATGGCTGAGAAAAGTTTGTGTAAATAAATATGTTGATCACAGTGCTTTGTTGAGAGTGCAATTTATAAGAAAAAGAGGTCCATTGCACAGCTACAAGTTAACATTTTAACCAAATCCCTTCTATTCAAGATTAACAAACAAGTAATTCAGATTCTTTTGGTACTGTTACATAACCTAGTAATTTCACTTATTAAATTAAAAATCATTTTGTATCATTGATGCTGTTTATATATTATATCATTTCAATGCTCTATAACACTACACTTAATATATAGACTGCAATTTGCTTAAACAGCCTCTCATTTATAAAAGTTGAACATATTTCCATTTTTTCTGTGTGTACAAATTCTTTCAGTGTTTTGGGGTTTCATTACATATTTCCTAATTTCCTTCCAGCAATATTGAGACAATGGAAGTTTCCCCATTTCTTAGTAAAGTTTGAGGAGTTTAAGTCCTGTACTCACTGACAATAGAACTTTCACACATGGTTCGAAGCTATATTAATTTATTACACCAATTCTCAGTCATGTTGTGCTAGATAATGTTCTAGGCCATGGAAATAAAATGTTATCTTGTCTCCATAATGCTTATGGTCTAATTAGGGATACAGAAGATCAAGAAAACAACTGCAGCCAGTCAGTAGTTCAATGTGACTCAATGTGGACACTCACCTTAGAAAATTTGGAAATAAAAACAGAAGCCACTGTGGTCTAGGGGATGACAAACAACCACCACAAAAATTCTTAGGAGCTAGAGATCTACATTAGTTGATAGGGTGCTTGCACACTTACCTAAAGCCCTGGGTTCTATTACCCAGCACAGAATAAACACAGCAGAGTGGCACACACCTATAATCTCAGCACTTCAGAGGTAAAGACAGAATGATCAAGAGTACAAACTCATCCTTAACTACACAGCAAACTCAAGAATTCCCAGCCTGGTATACATTAAAATATGTCACACAAAAAGCTCTTTTTTAGTTTCATAGCTCCTTGCTTTGTAACTCACACCAGCATGTTCACTTCCTGGGCCTCTGTCATCTCACAGGCTATAGTTATTGGCCTGTGGCTTTTCCTTGATGTAGCCTTTGCTTCCATGAATGGAACTTGATCTACAGAAATTACAATAGTGTAGACAATACTGGTCCAGACTTTACCCCATATATTAGAGCCCTGTCCTGCAGAAATCTGGCCTCTAGCTTGTATCCATCCCTCTTCCTCTTATTGGAGTAATTGCAGGAACTATTTATAATTCTTTGGTGATGTCTTTGAAACAGTAACTCTTAATTTAAGCCCCCTAAATTCAGACTTTAAAAATCAATCCCGGGGCTGGAGAGATGACTCAGTGGTCAAGAGCACTGGTTGGTCTTGCAGAGGCCCCAGATTCAAATCCCAGCACCTACATGACCACTAACAACCATCTTTAACTCTAGTTCCATGGAATCCAACACCCTCTTCTGTCCTCCATAGGCATTGCATGACATAGGTGCACTTATATACAAGCAGGCAATATATTCATACACACAAAATAAAAATAAATGAAAATAATTTTTAAAAATCAATCCCAAGTTTTACCAGGTTTCTCAACTCCTCCCTACCCATCTCCACTAGTTTTCTTGGCACTAGCATCCTGACTCTGGCACAGTTGTAAAGTGTGGCGCAGGGCTCTTTTGACCTCTTGGTTGCGCAGGCAGTAAATGATGGGGTTAAGCAATGGTACAATGACAGCATAGAGTACAGAGACCAGCTTGTTAGTGTCAAAAGCTGAGAGTGCCTTAGGCCGGGCATAGATAAAGATACTGGCTGCATAGAAGATTATCACAACAGTGAGGTGGGAGGCACAGGTTGAAAAGGCTTTATGCTGACCAGCAGCTGAAGGGATTCGCATCACAGCACCAGCGATGGCCATATAGGAGGCCCCGGTGACAGAGAGTGGCCCCAGCAGGATAAAAATGGCCAGGATAAAGTCTGTAAGCTCTGCTGTGGACATGTCAGTGCATGAGAGGTTGAGCAATGGGGAGACATCACAGAAGAAATGATTAATGATGTTGGGACCGCAGTAAGAGAGGCGAGAAATGAGAAAAACTTTGACCATGGAGATGCTGAAACCTCCAGTCCAGGAGCCAGCTGCCATCTGCACACACAGTCGGCTGCTGACAATGATAGGGTAGTGGAGGGGATGGCAGATGGCCACATAGCGGTCATAGGCCATAACAGCCAGGAGGACACACTCTGTGCAACCCAAGCCCAGGAAAAAGTAGAGCTGAGTCATGCAGCCCTCGAAGGAGATCAGCTGTCCACGGTTCTGTTTGGACCCAATGAAGCCAGCAAGCATCTTTGGAATTGTGACGGTGACATACCAGATTTCCAGGAAGGACATATTAGCCAGAAAGAAATACATGGGTTTGTGGAGGGTGGGATGGTTCCTAATTGCTGTAATGATGAGTGTGTTTTCAGTCAGCACCAATACATAGGCCAGCAGAGAAAGAGAGAACAGCAGTGCCCGCAGCGGGGTAGGAGCTGGGAAGCCCAGCAGCACAAATTCATTCACTCGCCCACTCTGGTTCTTCTGCTCCATGAAAACAGTCTTGTTCACTGCTCTTCAGAAGAAACCAAAGAGTCTTCAGGAAGCAGCAGCAAGAACCCAGCTTCTCTGTCTTGGTGGGTTTACTTTAACAGAACTCAATGTAGTACTATATATCATTCAGCACAACTATTCACTGAATTGAAAGATAAGCCCAGATAAACATGAACAAAAATAAATGACTTTTTATTGGCAACAGGTTTGGACTGAGCCCTTGGAGAAACATATATTGAGGAATGCCAGGAAAAAATGACACTAGTACATCCCAATATCTCTCTTTTGGTCCTATACAAAGGCAAGAAAGAGATCAAAATCGTAAATGATGATTAAAACATAGAAATAATAAATTTTCACATGCAAAGCAATTACATAAACAAACCACTCTCTAAGCTTTAAAGTGAGAGATAATCATGACCTGGAAAATAGCTTCTTTTTGAGGAAATAAGTTACACAATGAAGGAATAAAAACACAATTGAGTATTTACTGCATCTTTTTATTGGGAGCATTTTTTTAATGTTTATAGCATTACTGTCTCTTCAGAACAACTTTCTAAGATAAAGTCATTAATAACTCCACTTACACGAGAGGAAACAGGTATAGAAAATTTAAAGGGCTTGCTCTGTGTCACACAGAATTTAAGAGGTGGAAGCAGGAATTCAGAACCTCAGACCATGCCAAATATTCAGGTGACTCTACATCTAGATTTACATTCAGGAGAGTCAACCTTTGTGATTTCATCTAAGGAAGCAATATCCCCCTGCAAAGAAGGGAAACTAAAACAGAATACCAAAAGTTACCACGACTCTAGGATGTAAGTCCCCAAGAGTTCAATATTTAAAAAGAAGGTCCATAAATCAAGTTAAGTAGATGTTGGATGGCATGGGGATGAGGAATCCCATTGTTTTCTGAAAGCTCTGCCATCTCTCTTTCAATGCAAGCAAAGCCTTTCCTTTAGCATCAAAGCCAATATGTAAGAAACATTCAGTAGAATGCTCTTTGTTTACCTTGATAGCAAGACAAAATTTCCTTTCAAAGACTCAAGCCTTCTGTGTCTAATGTAGAAGACAAGTTAGTATTTCCACGTGGAAGGTGATATGAATTAAGGACTGATTTCACCCAATGTCCAAGAGGACAGAGGTTAGAATTGAGAAGGAAGTAGTCTGCTGAGTAGCTGAGTGCTTGTTCCTCTCAGAGCAGTCTACTTTTTATTATGCCTGTTCTTATGAAGTGGCAGGGACAGAATGTGCTCACAAAGCAAGCTGTAATAAGTGGCTAGTGCTTTCAGACCAGAATTTCTCGTCTCAGTATGCCGTGCTGTGCTGTAATGTAAGGACAAAATGCACACATCCCTGACTTGCAGTGCCCATCACATCTTCTTAGCTTCCACACTCACAATTATTTGTTCTAAAAAACAATCTATGTTCTGTAATACTGGCCAAGAGCTGTGGTCCAAACAAGGTCACTCATTCTTCAAAGAGTTCATATTCACGTTGGGGATGTATCTTCATCTTCTCACCACTGCTAGTTTAAGCTGCCAGGTCCATCTCTACACTATGCACCGCTTCTCAAATGGAAAGCTAAAGATTAAAACTGCCCTTTGTTACCTTAGCCATGATGCTTTCTCCTCAGTGTCCTCCTGACAGTCCATGCACCGTGCTGTTGATTCTGTCTCAGGACTTCATTCTCTTCTTTTAATATTTTTCTCCCACCATATTTAAAATATTAAGGAAAAAAAGCTTTCACATCTGAACTCCAAATTGTCTACTGTCTTTAATCTGTCCCCTAAAAGGATATTCAGACCATTTTACTCCCCACAATGACATTCAAACTCTTCTTTAAAAACCTAAGTGCATTTCACGACCTGCCACTGCCTTCACCAACACGTTACGTCTTGTCTTGGTGTGCATTAATTTTTAAGCTCAGTTCAGCACACAGCATGTGTGTCACTGCACAGTTCTGCTTATAATGCAGTCTTCGTCAACATGACTGACTCACACTCAGCCCTCAAGTCTTGGCTCAGGAAGCATTCCTCATTTGAATATTCATTACTCTTCTTTCTCCCCTTTCCTTCTTAAGGGCCTGGTAGTCTGCCTTTCACTACTGCTCCTGTTAAAACCTGTGAAACCTGTATATGATTTTACTTGCTGCGTAATCGCTGGTGTTGCTCAGATACTGCTCAGGTAGACATAAGAAGGAGCTATATATATAGCTGGAGTAGCCTCATATGTTCTCACTGGTATAATTAGAAGTAGATGTAATTTCCTGGATGTCATGTAAACTTATCAAATATATGTGTAAAATGATTTTTTTCAAAACTATTCATCCTCACAAATGTCATCGTCTTCCATGAAGTTATCGAAGCCAGGGTTCAGAAAGCGTCCTAGATTCTTGTATCTCACCCTCCTACCACCCCACGTCTCATCACAGCTGCCCAAGAACTATCTGAACTGCATCTTGAGTTATCTCACATATCTGCCCCCTTTCTCCTGTTCTACAGCCTTCCTCCTAGTTCCTCACACCAAGTCCCCACTATTTCTTGATTTAGTAATTTCATAGCCTCTCACTTGTTCTTTCTTGTCCTTCAGGCTGGACATTCACCATTTTAGGATTCATTTGTTTTTGGAGTGAAATTTATGTAAGAATCACTAACCACAAGACCATCTAGTTTAAAGACAGCACAATCAAAATCTTCCAATAAAGCTTCAACATGTTTTCTTTCCACCGTCCCACTACAGCCCAGACATTGGCCACGGCAGCCCTTTGTCTGTCAAGGGGTTTTCTGACTCCGTGACTTGGCACACACACTGTCCTCTGTATAAAACACATTGCCTTTATATCCATGCTCAGATGCCAAGGAGCTCAGAAAGTAACCAACTGTGACTAGTAATAATCAGATATATAGAGATTATAAATGCATGTACATCTTAGTGTCAATTGCATTGAAAAAGAATTTTTCTATATGAAACTGTGTATTTTAATAATGAAATGGAGATCTTTTTAAAGGTTAAAACATCATTTAATTTATGTCTTATAGGGTTTATACTGAGTACAATATTGTATAACTGTATTAATTCAACTGTAAACCTGAAAATTTACAGCCAATTTTGAAGAAGATGCATCTTAGCTCTGGAAATTGTTATTGAATATGTCGTGCTGTTGTAATGAAATGCTTCTTCTGATTGTGTGGTTATTAAATAAACAATTAAAAAAAAACCTTTTCGAAGGTATTATCCTAGCAGACCACCTGGTCTCACCAATCAAAAGGCTTAATGTCATCAGATAGCATCTGAAGCCTATAGTAAAAAACCCCTCATTTTGCTATGACCCGCCTACTGAATGTATCCTCCAATGTATTTGAAAAATGTCTTGATTTATGACTTTTCTTTGTTCTGTTACTATAAAAATGTAAGGCAACTGTTACCACGCTGGAACATGGTATTTGGGGAGAACTAAATCTGTGTTCCTAGGCCATGGTCACTCATATTTGGCTCCAGAATAAACTATCTCTAGTCTAGAAAAAATTGCCCTCAGGATTTTTTTTAATTTTTTATTTTATGTGTATGAGTGTATTGCCTGCATGTATGTGAGTGCACCTGTGTGGTGCAATATCCATGGAGGTCAGAAGAGGGCTTCAGATTCCCCTGGAACTGGAGTTAAGGAGAGTTTGTAGCTGCCATGTGGGTGCTGGGAATTGAACCCAGGTCCTCTGCAAGAGCAGTCAGTGCTCTTAGCTTCTGAGACATCTCTCCAGCCCTCAGGAATTTTTATTTAACATTTCACTTTCCTAGTTATCATTCCCCAATGCTATCCTCATTCTGCAGACATAAGTTGTTTATTGGTTTGTCTGTATCACAGTCTGACAGTATTTATTTTTATAGGATCTGCTTTAATTAATGACAAGCAAAGATAATGTGATTGGTGGATGAGAAGAGGAGAGTGTGATGTGCAGAACCAACAAATTGCTGATTATAGGAATGGAGCACAGTGAAAGTCACACACACTCACACACACACACACACACACACACACACACACACACAGAGGGACATAATCGACTTTTTCCACATTTAAATAGATTTTTCAAGAGAATTTGAAAGATTCTGAAACACACACTGTTGTAGGTCTAAAGGGCTCAGATAAAACAGTCCCACATGTAGGTTTCCCATTCTCTAGTGGAGAGCCACATATCCATACACACGTGGGCGCCATTGCTTCAATTTAGTAGATTATCAAAAAAAAAAACAGACATAAAGTTTGGAGGAGGAATAAGAGGAGTTGGGGGAGGGAAATAGGGCGAGCTATGATTATATTTCATTGTATACATGGGTGATATTCTCAGAAATAAAGAGAAATTATAATCTATAAAGAAAAGAAACATGAGTAAGTTTTATTAAATCCAGGCAGACTTAACCTTCTCTATGTAAAAGTGTGATATGTGGTAGGATTAACTTGATTGACAGACAGAAAATTAGGTGACTACTAGAATATTAATTATATGACTTAAAAATGTAAGATCATAAAAGCTGTAGGGAGACAGCCATAGTATGAATAAATAATCAGTCATCAGCAGAAAATATAAAGAAATAAGTATCAACAAAATGTGCAGAGGTGGGTGACTAATAAGGTTTTGAAGCTTTATTAGGAGGAGGAGTTAGAGGGGGGTTCTGTATAGAAATCAACTGGCAGAAGAATTAGCGCATAGTAGAATCTACTTACTTCTTTCAGATGTCATTAACTTATCAGGGTCGGCCTAAGATGACAGTTTTTGTTAGGAAAGGACTTAGGGAGTGAATGTAAAGGAAAGTTGAAGGATCAGGACAAATAAAGACACTGTGGAGACTCTACCTTCTCCTCCTTCCTGTGTAGTGCAACTCCCTCCTCTAGTCCCCATTTCCCCCTCCTCCTTCTGATGCGTTGGGAAGGTACTGAGGCAGGAACCCAAGAGACCAGAGAGATACAAGATGAAAAAGCAAACAAAAAGACTAAGGCAGGTTACAGAGAAAGGGAATGTTGAACAATCTCGGGAAATAGTTTATCAGGAACGTTACATGGAGATAGTG